ACACGTCTACAAGCCTTGCACAATTGATTTTTCACTCCCCCCCCCATCATCAACCCTTCCAAGCCTCGATTCCAGGCACATATATTCGTAGCTGTTGCACACGTCCAAATGAAATAACGCGGATGTCCGTTAACTGTGAACCTTTCGCGTTCCAGGTAAACTAACTGAATATCACCACATTCACATCATGTATTCGAACGACGAATCGGAAGAGTTTCTGCCTCGGTCCCCCTCCCTTGCTCCATCTATCACATTGCTCTATAGTTGATATACTTCAAACTGTTCTCACACCCGTGCCTGTGCTGTTTTATTCAATACCAACGGGTTCAGTACCAAATGACCAAACTGGTTGTTACTATGTGCGAGTACTCAGTCAACAAACAACACTTCAGCAGGTTTGTGAAACAAACGTGCGTGTGTGAACTGAGATGATGTGTGAAAAAACCTACACGCAATTCGAAATCAACATCATCATCATCATGTTTACTCACCCACGCGCACAAACACACTCGGACTCAAGAATGACCTCGTCAAGTGTACCGGGATATTCTGCTGAGCTTAATGTTTCTGTTTGTGCAATTATATCAACTGTGATGCCACCAAATAAGCCTCCATGCACAATCTCACATTCCGCACACAAGATATATCACCTCCTATCAACATAGTGGATGTGGCCTTGGGGAAAACCGTTAGATTACATGTACTTCGATTACATAATGAAGTTCTCTGTATAGAATGCAGATAAAGCGTGAATTGAAAAACTGAAAAGCCATACACAGTTGCTTCAACCTTATGAGGTTTCAACAGCAATGTGAATCTACCTTTTCTTCTGAAAATAACACCCGTGTCCTCGAAGGCAGGACGCAAGTAAAATACACACTTAGCCATGAAGGAGCTAAACGGGTCATTTCAATTTGTCCTCACCCACATTTATATTTCGATTGTGAAAAGTTGAGTAGCCTCGGCGGGATTTGAACCCACGTATGGATGCCACCTACGCTTTGAACGAGCACGCTCTACCAGCTGAGCTACGAGGCCACCCCTGTATCATGTCATAAGGAAGGTGAGTGAACTTAGAATAAGCGTTTCGTTTTCCGAGTGTAACTTCACTATACTTGAAAAGGGCTCGGTCTTTGGTGAGACGACAAGAACGGAATAACATACAAATAGGTTCTTATATTCAGAAGCGGGACGTCAAATAAACCGTATTGGCATACACTACATGTCGGCAAAATACCTCTTAGAAGTAAACAGCATAAGGGCTTTGTAAAGATAACTTGATTTATGCACTTAGAGTTTCAACGCTTTCCTAAACGTACAATAACCTTTGGAGATACTAAGGTAAACCTTTTCTCAACAGAATGCCAAACTCCCCTGGGTTACCATTGCTTTGCAATATTGGCACATTTTGCAACCTCTCCCGATCAGTTCGGATACAGGACAGCATTTTGGTTTCAACAGGTGCCATCGATCGACAAGCCACCGAGAACTTGACTGAACGGTATACTCAAAGACCTGATTGTGTTTGGTTATCACGTCCGTTGTTAGAACACAATCTGTGCAGACATTTATTGCCTATCACCGAAAGCGGGCAGCTAAAACTCGAGGAAAACGTAAAGTTGGCTCATCCTTTCTTGAAGATAAAACATCTAAAGTGCAATAAAACAAACAGCATGGAACACTGGAAAGCAACGTATCTAAAACTTTGTTACTTATGCAACACAACATATTGACCTTCATACCGTGTTCCCTTTAACACACCGAGCCCCACCGCAGAGTAGTAACAAGCAGTTGAATGTGGAACGGGTTAACGTTCGAGAAGAATGGAGGCAAAATCATTGGTCGAAACCGTAACGTCAGCCCCGTGAACAACAATTTCTTTCATATTCGCACCATAGGTTAGTGGTAAAATGTCTGTCAAACCACTAACTCAGTCTACTCGGATAATCGACAAATTAGTAAAACTTTTAAATTTCACAGAGAGTGGAACAAAGTAGACTAAAGTCACCATTGCAGATAGCAATTTCACAAGCTAACTTACCGCTCTGAGCGTTTGACAGAATTCAATCATCAAAGAACGCATATCCTTCACATAGTTAATTGCATAGTCCTGAATCAGTTTCGGATCTCGTTCCTCCACATCGCGATTTGGGATTTGCGGGTTATTTTGAATGATGTAGCCAGCTGCTGTGCGAACCAGGTGTGCGAAAAATCCGGCCGAACGCCACGGTTCTGTCCGAGACCAACGTGGTGATTCAAGTGGATCCATCGGGGCATACTGATGCGATCGACTTGCATGTAGCTGTGGGAACAGTGGAGCCAGGGTTTGACGAAGATTGGCTAGACGTGGCAAGCGATCGGTGGGGAACATTCCATTTCCGGTTGTGCGAGGCCGTGAAAACGATGAGTCGGTATCACTGGATCGATCCGATTGAATTGCATTCCGACCGTTTCCGGTCCCATTCCCGTTGCGCATGGTTATACTGTTCATGCGACCCAGGGTCATTGTAGAGCCCATATTAGACCCGGTCAGTGGTGTATTAATTTCCAAGCGATGATCGGGAATCCAGCGAGGATCCTTGAACAAGAACACATAGCCCTGTTGTTTGGGGCCAAAATATATGAAGTCTCCAGGGTGCAAAAGCCGTTTGTCAAAAGATAAATTCGGTCCCGGATTGATCAAATCCTCATTAATGTATATTGGCGGAACTTGCGGAAATTCTGCCATGTGACCATTGATTCGTTCGTTGATATACGGTTCAATGAATATGGCACCTGTATGTTCCAGAGAACCGTCATTTGTGAGTGGATAGTCGTAGGCTACCAGTTTGGCAAAAATGATAGGTACAGACTGTTTGCACAGATTTTCATCCGGGGAATCATATGTCCTTATAGACGCATCTTCTCGTGTGCCTATTGTCATTTCTGAACGCGTTCGGTTCTTTTGAATGATGGGGGTTAGATCCCAAAGAGGTCGATCACACTTGGGCTGCAAACCCCGTATAAGTGTCAGATGTGGTCCATGAGGGATGCGATATTTAGACTTTCGACGGGAATCTCGAAGGGTGAAACTACTTCCAGCGGGTGTCATTGATCGACGAATCATAGGCATACCAGAAATTGAGGTGTTAGACTCTGTACTGGAACGACGTCTGTCTGATGGGGGAAGGTCTTTGTTTGCGCTCCTGGGTCTTGGACTCGGCGTTGGTGTCGGCACTCTTGTACCGGCAGCCGCCGGGAAAGATGTATGGGGATAATCCAATCTACGTATTTCAATACGACGGGATAAGCCAACACCGGCACGGCTTCCAGAAAATATTGATTTTACAGTTTCCTGGGGTTCAATGAGTCGGCAACGAACCTCAGAAAAGCCCAGCAAAGAGTCTTGGGTTAGCACTGCCGAAGAGACGGGCTCAATTCGTCCAATCACCTCGTAAAGAGCAACTTCATCCGGACTGGCAATCCGCGTTGAATACATTTCCGTAAGTTCCTTCACGCATTGCTCGGCAGTTGTTGTCCCATAGACTTTCAGTGTTTTGAAGTGATCACCCGGACGAATCTTTTCACAGTAAATTCTCAAATAAGTTACACTGATCCCATCATTCGTTTTCACTTCTTCTAATGAAAGCTCTTCTGGAATAACTATATCACTCTTCCTTTTACTCGAATTCAATGACGTCGATGATCCAAATATTTTATCTTTACCCATTTTCACCTTCGTTTTTCTGCCGGACTTGTTGTGCTCGTGAACCCTGCTCATATCGCCCGCGACAAACACGCACACAAAGACAAAATCTTCAAATCACGTGCTGGATGATTCCAAGTGGATAAAAATGAAAAGAATTCCGTGATAGTTGCAGCAAAAATTAACAGTAACAAACTGATTATCACATGGAGGTGCAAATCATCAATGTGTGACGCGCCTGAGAAAAAGGACCCTGTGCCATCATGTCTCTCAGCCTCGGTGCACAAAGTTGTCCGGCCCTGGTGTTTTCGAAATCAACTACCACACAAATGCATTCATCTAGACACATTAGCATACACACACGCATGCTTCAACTGCTCATACAGTATCGTTCGTTGCGTTTTGATTGGCTAATTTGCTGTTGGGTGTTCCATGACCTTCAAGGCTTGACGGGATTGGTCCGTGAATGCATGCGTAACCAAAATCTTCCTTGCCAAAGCAGTGCCTTGGTTCGCTTGTGATTAGCGTATTGTGTACTGCGCTAAGATTGATGGCTGTGCAAAACGCCTTCGGGTGGAGTATTTGAAATCCATGTGATCGCAAAATAAGGTCAAGTGCAAGCAACCAGTTGTTTTAAGGGTCTTTTTCTCACCAACCGGAGAATAGTTGGTATAATAATCATAATGATCGAAAGACAAATGCTCATGATAAATCCAGCAGTCAACGATCAGCTACTATTAGATTAGCCCATTGGACTCCTGGTAAAACATTAGCGAAATCGAACGCTTACGACGAGCGTAAGATGACCAGTCGTTACTGATGCAAAGCAGTCGAGTGCCATTAGTGACCGATACAGTAATCAAACACTGCGGGTTACTACATTTCTAATGTTTTCGCTTTTATTCGTCTGATCTGTCTTGCAGAACTTATTCTAATTAAAACAGAAGTTGGTAAAGAAGCTCGAACTTAGTGATCCTTAGCCGAATCACTGCTTCCCACCGTATATATTCACACAAAGGTTTTTCAAAAGGAAAAATCACGTAATAATTTCCGCGGGTTTCGAACGGTTTTGCTACCGAATTTGAAATTCACAATAGTCATATACTTACTGTTTGGATTGGTAAAAGGGCGTTTTTGGCACAGAGAAACAGGTTACGAAAACACAGTGGTCAGTATACGACAGTGAACCCGAGCTGATATTAGAGTGCAAATCCGATACATGGTTGACATGACGCGGTGGGTTCATAGAGAGATTTGTATCAACTGGGTGAGGAAATGCTACATTAGTGAGTGACTCATCCCGATCTGCGCTCAGCCACGTAAGGAGTGATATGCACCAATCCGTCCAGACAATTGTCTGGTAAACTTTTTCTCATAGGATTCGGTATATCTGAATAATACCAGCGATAAAATGGGAGCAGAACTGATTTTGATCATCAGTTTGGTGTATCTTCAATAGAATATCTGTTAAAGCACAATAAATAAGTGGGAAAAATTAGAATAATATTAACAAATATGATTGTTCTGATTACGTAAGAATAATTCTTATTGTTGGGCTGTCACCGGAGTCATTTAGGGTTGCAACGGTCAGTAGGGGATAGTTCAGATACCGAGCACTAGAAATACCTAATGCGTTCAGTAAAATAGGTGTGTAATGTCAGCTAAATAGTTGAAACTATGGTAAGTTTAAAATTATTACGTAGTAGCAGAAAGGAGAATAGTTCATATTAGATGAAGTCTATGAATAAATAGGGCTGGATATGCAAAGATTAGATCCCACCACCACCGCCCAACTTTCCCCATTGTGTGTTGAATGGCAGCCATTTGATTGGCCGCTTCCCCTTTCCTGAAAATTGTACCATTGCATATTCAATAAAAGGGAGTAAAATAAAAAGATTAAAAAAGTGAGTGGGGTTCGAAAAACTTACCTAAAATATAAATAAGAGAAGGGGATTATGAATGAGGAGGGAATGAATCAAATGAGAGATAGTAACAGGTTAGTTCTTAGGGTACAGGCGATTGTATCAAGGTTTTTTATTTCCCGGAATACATCAGTGACACATTGAATGAAAAACGCAGTTTACCGAAAAAGCTTTTTTATATTACATTTTATATCACATCATTTTGTGTAGAAAAGAGGAAACAAAACTAATGATTATTTAAATGGTAATTGTTGTTATTGTTTTCTGTCCCAAATTTACAAAACCGGATATGTTTGATCCTGCCATCGGAACTTAAGCTTGGTCCGTGTTAATTGTGTGATTTGGGGTGGGACTGGGAGGGGGACCAGGAGATGGGGAAGGATGAGGATGGGAGGTGGTTGAGTGACTTCACAAACTGTTTTTGGGC